GTCGAAAGCCCTCCGAACACTAGCCGGGCCGCGACTAGGCAGCAAGAAAAGAGAGGCAAGCGAAGCGAGAGCGCGGGCAGCCACTCAGAAGACAAGCCAGAGACAAAACTCCCAACTCGGTGGCGTGGAGACCCCGGTGGCGACCATCAAGTAGGCGCAGCCACAATGGCGCGGAGGCGCGACCATGAACACGCAGAGGTCGATCACTCGGCGTGAGGCGGCACAAGGCCCGACAAATACGAGCAGGACCGACAGGCACATCCGGACGACGTCCGTGCCGTAGGCGACACAACTGCATCGTGTCAGCGCAAGAGTGAAGAGGGGCAACCTCGTCACAGACAGGACTGCCAACGGCAGTACCTCTCGTTTGTACAGCAGTGGCACATGTCGAAAGCGAAGTCCATGTAGGAGAAAGCAGCCGACGGGCGCACAGAGCCACACCTGCCGAAGTCCTTGCACCGAAGAGGACGGCAGCGTAGCGAGACCCCACTGAACCCAAACGGTCACCAGTGGGGGCCGACACCAGACAGGAGCAGGCCAGGGGCCACCTGACCGCCCATCCCCAGTGCGATCCTTGCATGAAGAATTCACTACTACTGGTATGGGGGTCGGCGGAATGGCGCAAGCCTCTTGAATCTGCCCGCCCACCGGGCTAAGGGGCGTATGGAACTCAACTGCGTGAGCTCCTCAATTACAAGGCTTCAGCCGCCCCCCCATTCCGCAGCCCAGCTGCACCATCGGCACTTTTCGAGCTCCAAGACAGCTTCCAGACGACGTCCAAGACAGCCTCGCACTTCAGACCGCTCCAAATACGTCTTCGGGGCGCATTTGGGTTCCATTTTGGCCCCTTTGGGGCCCCTTCGTCGCCCTCACAATCGACTCCCGGGGCCCTCAAGCACGCCTCTTGGGCCCAACTTCGCCTACAAACTCGAAACTTCAAATGAGCTTCGCCTCGCCAGGGGTCGCCTGGACGTTTCTTATAGCTGACTTGCGGGCTCGTCTACGATACTCCTCAAAATGCAAGCTTCGACACCTTTTTGGGGGCTCGCTCCAGGGTCAATGTTGGATGATTCTGGACCCAACTTGGGCCCTAAAACTGAGCCTCAAACGGCCCAAATCCCGCTCCACCAGTTTTGATGGCATTTGGTCGGGGCTGCGGCCCAACGCGGAGGTGCTGTCGCGTAGGCCGCCAAAAAGCCCGCCTGGGCCGCCCTCCTTGGCCCCCTTTCTGGGCCCTCCTCGGTACCCTCTTCGGCCCTCCTGGGCACCTTTGGGGCCGTTTCCGGACGTCTTCGGCTGGTCTTGGGCAGGGTTCTGGCCATCTCTGGCCTCCTGGTGTGGAAAGGGAAGGAGAGTCAAGAGAGCTAGCATCTATATCAATGATCCGTGTGCAATGATGACGGCCGACGACCAATCGGCAGATTCAGTATCGATTCGCTAGAAGGCATGCCTGAGCCCAATCGGCGATGGAATGGAGGAAACATGGAGCGCAGGCAATAGTACAAAGCACACGTGCGAGAATCTTGCAGCTACACATGCTCTTTCCGCCAGCGCAGTCACTCTGCCTAGCCGCCGACGCAAAAAGTATATATTGCACCATTTTCGGAATGTCTGCACCGCGCAAAGGCCGTGCAGGCACACGCCACAGTGCCGCACGCGGATCGGCCTGCACGAGGCCGGTACGCGGCGGCTTCGCGACCGCGTTCCCGAGGGAAGCCGACCAGCACGAGGCACGCGAGGCCGACACCCCCCCGCTGCCTCCATCGCGGCCTGCACGAGGCCACGCGGCCAATCGCTCCCAAACGCCCTATGCGCTTTTCCGTCCAAGAGGGCTCCAAGATGGCCTCCAAGACGGCCCCGACGCATCCAAGATAGCCAAGGTGGCCCCGGAGAGCCCAAGGTGGCGCCTGGATGACCCAAGAGGGGCAGAAGGGTCCGAGACACTTGTTTGGGGCCCCCGTGGCTTGCACGAGGCCTGCCTTCGCGCGGAGCACCGCGAGGTCGGGGGCCTCTCAGTCCCGCGCAGAGCTGGGTACGGAGACCGACACGTCTCGGTCAAGCGCGGCGCTGGGCGCGCCCCGGGGTGAACCGGTCTCGGCGATCCGAGACTTCCTCTGGCGGTCCTTCTCCTGCAAGCATGCCCAGGTCTCCTGCTGCTTCTCAGAAGAAGCGTGAGAAGAACGTCGAGGGCGACCGACGTCGACCGACGAAGGCGACGGCGGTGGCAAAGGCGACAGCCTCCGGGGCGACGACGGCGGCGGCAACGGCCACGGCAGCAGCGGCGGCGGCGACTGACGACCGAAGACCGGCGGCGACGGCGACAACGGCGGCGACGATGCTGGCGGCGATGATGGCGGCGACGGCGGCGACGACGGCGACGGCGGCAGCGACCGGCGGCGAAGGCGACGCCTAGGCGCGGGGCCCTGTCGGTGGGCCTCCAGGGAAGCCGCGCGGGGAGATACCCGCGCAAGCCGTCCCGCGCCCAGGAGGGCAGACGCACCTCCAGGGGCCCGTCGTCGTCGTCGTCGTCGTCGTCGTCGTCGTCGTCGTCGTCGTCTGAAAAGGAGAAGGGGGGGAGGAGGAGTGGGAAGAGGGAAGAGGGAGGAGGGGGAGGAGGGGGAGGAAGGGGGCGCGGGACTCCACGTGGCAGGTTCCGGGGGCGCCCAACGGGTACGAAGGGATGTCCAGAGGGCTCCAGGAGGCAAAGGAGGAGGGACACCCCCTCCCGAAGCTTGGCCCGCCTTGTCCGTCTTGGGGGTACCTTCGGGCTCTCATGGAGCCTTTGTGGGCTCTCCGGGACTGCCGTGCAGCTCCCTGGGGCCGTTGTTGGTTCACCAGGGGCGCTCGGGACCCAGCCTCTCCATTCGGGACTCCGAGCTCAGGCGGATCATACTGATCGAAGAGCTACAGCTGCACACACCTGCTGAAACGTGAATGCATCACAGAGTCTACATACATAAGGCAATATATACACACAGATGCCCAATTCTTCAAAACATGTACATACATGGCTGTTCACATATATTCAAGTGATACGCGTGTGCGTGATTTAAGTAGCAATCCAAGCTACATCACCAAAATGAACATCTATGAATACACATCTTCAAAAGATCCAAGACTGCAACTGGCTGTTGGAGGCACCTCTTGGGTGCCTCTTGGGGGGGCGTCTGAGGGTCCCTTGGGGTCATCGGTGCCGTCTTGGCTGCGTGGAGGCCCGACTTGAGGCCACCTGCGGCCAGATTGAGGCAATCTGGAAGCCTCCCGCGGGCCTCCTGGAAGCAGTTTTGACGCATCGAGGGCACTCTTGGGCTATTTTAAAACGACGTCTCCTAGGAGCCTTTTGCGCCCTCGGGAAGCTTTTGGGGTCCTCTTGCGGCCTCCTGCGGGCCTTTTGGGGGGAACGCTCTGCTGCTGGGTCGCGTTCCCCTTCTTGGGCCTCTCTTGGGGCTCTTGGGGCCCTCTCGGGCCGTCTTGGGCGCCTCAAGCACCGTCTTGGGGCCCTCGCGGGCCGTCTTGGGGCCCTCTTGGAGGCCTCTTCCTCTATATTGGAGCGGTATTGGAAGCCTCTTGGGCCGTCTTGGAGCATCGGGATGCCAAAAGGCAGAAAAAATTAAAACCCGTCAAAGCCCAATCGTAAAACAATGAGTTGTGCCTCTTGGGGCCACCTTGGGAGATCTCTTGGAACCTCGTCGGCCCTCTTGGGAGCTTCTTGGGGGCCTCTTGGATCCGATTGGGGGCCTCTTGGGACTTCCCGAGAACCTCTCGGGGTAGAAAGCTCGGATTCTCAGTTCGTGTTTCCCTTCTTGGGCCTCTCTTGGGGCCGTCTTGGGGCCCTCTCGGGCCTTCTTGGGCGCCTCAGGCACCGCCTTGGGGCCCTCGTGGGCCGCCCAGGGCCCTCTTGGAAGCCTCTTCGGCTATCTTGGAGCTATCTTGGAGGCCTCTTCCTCCTCCTCGTCCCCCTCCTCCTCCTCCCACTCCAGCTCTCTCTCCTTCTGATCTTCCTCCTCCTCCTGCAGCGTGTTCCGGAAGGCTCCCGCCGGAACATGCTGTGCAAAAGTGCTGTCACTGCTCCCGCCACAGTGCCCTGGGTGGTGGGTCAGAGGCCTCATGGGTGTTGGTTTGGATCTCGTGGTTGGCCTGTCGGGGACGTCGTGAAGGCAGTTTCGCAGCTTCTCGGTAGCCGTTTTGGGACCGTTGTGGGGCCTCATCGGGGCTGTTTTGTGGCCTCTTTAGGCCTCGTTTGGGCCTCCTGGGTGCCTCTTGGGGGCCTCCTGGGGCCTCTTGGGGGCTGCCCTGTCGGGGCAGCGGCCCCGGGCGCCCGGGCGTCGTGCACGTGTGTATATATATATATATATATATATATATACACATCATCTTCACAGAACAGCACTTGCCCTCAAGGGGGTCTTACTTCTTTTCTGAGAAACGGGGCCCGTGCGTGGCCTCGGCGGCCCCGTTGCCACCCGTCGCCGGCCCGTTGTTCCGAGCCAGGAAAGCGTGCGGCCCTGGCGGCCCCGTTCCCGCCCGTTGCCGCTGCCCCGCGGCGGCCCCCTGCGCTGCAGTGCAATCGCACTGCACTGCGAAGCATGGCAATCGCTTTACGTCGCATTGCATTGCTTTGCATCACACTTTGCACCGCATTGAATCCCACCAGCCCTTTGGGCGTGAGTGGTTTAGAGAGCTCTCTCTCTGTTCTCAACCCCCGAACCCCCTACTTCCCCTTCGGGGAGGGGTTTACCCCTCCCCCTACCCCCTCCCCCTGGGCCTGGAGAGGGCGGGCCGAGTGCAATCAAGGGGGTCTTTTTCGACTCCTGGGAGGGCCAAAAAACGACGACCCTCACGAGGATTCTGGCCCCCAGAGGAGGGGGACCGTTTGGCGCCTCAGACCGTCTTGGAAGCAAAAAACATTGATTTGACTAAGGTTTTGGCCCCATGTTGGCCTCCTGACGGGGCCGCGCTCCTCTTCCTTCATAGCAAAATCATCGATTTTACGAAGGTTTTGGGCTCATTTTGTCCTTCTCAGGGGGCAGCGGTCATTTACGCTTCTGAGGAGGTCGCAAGAGGCCCCAAGCTGGCCCCAAGAGGCCCCCAGGAGGCTCCCAAGAGGCCTCCAAGGGGCCCCAAAGAGGCCCCCAAGAGGCCCCAAGAGGCCCCCAAGAGGCCCCCAAGAGGCCCCCAAGAGGCCCCAAGACGCCCCAAGAGGCCCCCAAGAGGCCCCCAAGAGGCCCCCAAGAGGCCCCGAAGAGGCCCCAAGAGCCTCCAAGAGGCCCCACGAGGAGCCCGAACGACTCACACCAGGACGAGGGGCCCGAACGACTCGCACCACGAAGAGCCCGAACGACTCACACCATAAGGAGGGGCCCGAACGACTCACACCAGGACGAGGCGCCCGAACGACTCACACCACGAGGAGCCCGAACGACTCACACCACGACGAAGAGCCCGAACGACTCACACCACGAGGAGCCCGAACGAGTCACACCAGGAAGAAGGGCCCGAACGACTCACACCAGGACGAGAATCCCCAAACGACTCAAACCACGAGGAGCGCTTTCTCTCCCTCCTCCTCCGCCTCGTCCTTCTCCCGCTCCCCCCACAAGGAGGATGTACAAGGAGGCGGGGGGAAGGAGGAACAGGGGAGATATGCGGGGCCAAGCGGACACACGCCTGAAAAACACGACTGTCGGCATGCTTCGCGAGAGTTGCTGCTGTGAGATGGGCTGGTGGGGACACGCGAAGCGTAAAGAATTGCTTAGCATTGCATTGCATTGTTTTGCATTGCGTCGCATTGCTTTGCCTTATTACGCATCGCATTACATTGCCTTGCATTAATTTGCGTTGGTGCCCATCGCTCTGCATTGATTTGCATTGCGTGGCATTGCGTTGCATTGTATTGCAGTTCGTTGAATTGCTGTGCATTGCCTTGCATCGTTTTGCATTGTGTTGCATTGCGTTGCTTCGTTTTGCATAGCTTTGCATTGGTTTGCATTGCTGTGCATTGCGTTGCATGTCGTTGAATTGCTTGCATTGATTTGCATTGCGTTGGATTGCGTTGCATTATTTGTCATTGCTTTGCGTTGCATTGCGTTGCATTGATTTACCGTGCGTTACTCCTCTTTGCATCGCATTGCGTTGTATTGATGCGCACGTCTTACCATTGCATTACTTCGCATTGCGTTGCACTGCAGTGTACCACTCGGGATTGACTAGCTTTGTGTTGCATTGTACTGTACTCACTTGTAGCGCGTTGCATTGCATTGCATAGCTGTGCACAGGATCGTACTGCTGAGCATCACTGTGCATTGCGTTGATCTGCTTTGCACTGCTGTGGATTGCGTTGCATTGTTTTGCACCACAGAATATGCACCTCATGGGTTGCACTAGCTAAATTTCACCACCTTGCTTGCACCTCCCAGGTTGCACAGCGTAGGTTGCAAGAAATCACAGTTTCGGATAGAAGCATGGGAAAACAATTGTGGGATCGAATATGCACATATGTCAGCCAGCGCGGCCCCCAAAGAGTGAGTTTCGAGCAATATATGATGTGCAACCCACGTGGGGCAACACATAAAAAGGCAATGTACTTGGTAAAGCATATGCTGCGCAAAATACGTTATGCAATCTACGTTGCGCAAACATGTTGCGCAAGATGTGTGGAACATTCGACATGGTGCAATGTGCGTGGTGCAATCTACGTGGCGCGACCGTTGCTGCGCAAACCACGTTCTACAACAGATGTGGTGTCATTTACGTGGTGGAATCTTGGTTGTGCACTCTACGTGCTGCAACACACGCGGTGCATTCGATGTGGTGCCAAATATGTGGCACGCTCTTTGGCGTGCTGTTTTTTGGGGGCGAACCCCCAATGATACAATATTCGCGGCGCGCCATTGTGGTGCAATCTATGCGGCGCAATTGATCTGTAGTAATGAGTTGACACATCCCATGCTCTTGCAAACACCCCACCCACCCACCCGCAACTTGGTTTGCACAACCTGTGCGGTGGCGATTGCGATGCATGCTTGGCGTTGGCTGGTGCATCTCTGCGGCCGCGCCAACCCTAGCACGCGCGCCCAGCGGCCAGCTAGTTTGGCGCCACCGACGCGGCCGCGGCGGCGTTGATCGCTGGGCACATCCCAGCGAGCTCTTCACTGCGAATCGGCGACGTGGGCGGGCGCGGCATCACGGCAACGTCGACAACGGTAGCCACGATGATGATAGAAGCGATGCTGGCGACGATGATGATGACAACGGCGAAGGCGAGGCCACTGCGGGCGCCGATGCTGATCACGCCGACGACGATGACGGCGTCCTCACGTCGGCGACGAAGGTTTTGGAAAGAGTTCGACATGCGCGCGCGGCCGACGCGCGAAGAGTGGCCCGCGCGACATTATTCAACATGGATCGCGCCTCCCCCAACACGCGCTCAAGGGCGTGAGAATGATGTCGGCATGCGGCGCGAGAGGCCCGTTTGGCAAAATTACCCCCCCCCCCAAAAAA